CTATAATAACCCTGGTGTGTGTGTGTGTGTGTGTGTTAGCTGCCCAGTGAACTGAGATCAGACGAAGAAATATTAAGATGCGCGTCCAGAAAATTATCGCTGTTAAGTGTCTGCTGCGTTACCGCGATAATAACGCATTTTTTGTTTATGCAGTATTACATCCTTATTATTTACTCTATAAAAATGATGATAAAGGCATGATATAAATCACATGTGGCTAAAGCTGGAGTTTGATGAAATATGGAAAATAGTAATAAAACAACACACAAATAGAGTATTTAAAAATGTGCTGACTATGAAGGTCTGAGCCGGTCCTGATGTAGGTCAGGACTCACACAGACATATGTTATTTATAGCCAAACAAAGCCCTTCACCCCACTAAGCACCGCTCTTCTAAATCTCCTCAGACAGGCTGCGAACTCTCCCGTTCTGGGTTTCCAACTATAAATACTCAGTTCCTCTCTAGAACCAAAGATGTACCTGGTCAGAGACGCTGTACCAGCCATAGTTGAAGGGACTGGGTTGGTTCTGGGGTGACATGGCCACCACCACCAGGTTGTAACAGGCTCTGGACGTGTAGAGGAGAATCACCATGGCTCCAATGGCGGTCGCTTGGCACACAGACGTTCCCTGGAGGTGAAATTAATTTCTGTCGTGAGGAGTTCAAGCACAAACCCACCACTGACCCGTAAAGTTGGACATGAATCCACAAACATGTAAAAAGTATGATTTAAAGAATCTCTTTACACTCAGATTGTTTGTAGTGGGGTCTCTAAGTTTGGTCTCAGCTCCACTACGACTAGACATTAGCTTCTTAGTCCCATCAGATGAAACTGCTTCTCCAAACTGAGGTCATTCAAATAACTTTTCACAAGAAATTATTAAAAAAATTTCTACCACACCCTAAAATCATGTTGCTAAAAGAGCAACAGTTAGCTTTATTTATCACGTTTACTAAAAGGTGTAGGTAAATATTTCCACAATCTGGTAACCAACCAGATGCATGATCATGTTAGCCCCAATATTTAGCATAAACTGTTCTCTGCATCTATTAGCTTTGCTCATCGGTTACTTCCTGTATATTTGACAGGAAGTGAGCGATAAACATACAAACAGATTCTCAAACATGACACTAGATGTAACTATTTATTTGGTTTATCTGATTTAATCAAAGTTGGTCAAACATTAGGTCACTTAGACAAGGTTCACACCTGACAGCAACATCTATCCATTTGTATAGCATTAAATACAGATGTACTTAGCATTGATGCTTACTAAAAATAAAGTATATGAAGAATGCATTTTTAAATTTATAATTCATCAAAACCCTTTTCTAAAGAAATAGTGGATTAACAGAATGCTACATGGTATGTTTCCCATGAGTTTGATGTTTGCTCTGGTTGCTTTTTTGGTTTATTGGAGCCGCCATGGTCAATGCAAGCTACAATGTGTGTCAATCACAGAACAGCCTGACACACGTTACGCCGTGTTATATTCACGTAAATGCAGTGTTCTTAACTTTACAGTGGGTTAAACATGGTTTGATGTGAAAAAACTTTATGTTTATGTGTTTTTGTTGCCAGGTGTGAACGCTGCGGTCTGGACAGGGCCTCATGGGAATTCACAACTTGAACTTTAATCTTTAATTTAAATTTACCCAATATGTATATTCATGTATGTGAATATATACACATTTTTTGTTTGTTTTGTGTCTGTTTTGAAATAAAGATAAAAAAAAACAAACAACAGATTTTATTTCCCTTTGTGTGTCCAAAAAACCATTTTCCAAATAAAACAGAAAGGTTTTTGGTCTTCCCACCTTGGACTCGAGGTAAACATTGGCGGAGGACATCTTGGCGATCTTGAAAACGCACACGGCCAGAGACACGGCACACAAGACGAAYAGACTGTCGTTGATCAGGACCCGGGCCAAGACCGCATGCCTGACCCCCCCATCACTGGATAAACAGAGAGGTTAAAAGGATAAACACCTACAGGGTGTCCCGTCCCCTGTGGGACGCTACGCTGAACTTCAGCTCACCTAGGGGGTTTGGAGTTCTCCAGGGCTCCTTGAACCATCAATGCACACGTTAAATTCACCACCAGGAAAAACACGCTGACGCACAGGAAGAACAAACGAAGAGGAACCCTGTGGAGAGAGACAAACTGTAAAACTTGGGTCCAAATGAGCCGTTTTAAAGCCGCAAACTGGTAGTTCATCAGGACTTACTTATATTTAGTGAGCTCTGGAGAATACTTGGCTTTAGCTTTGAACATCACCTGATGAAGAAAAAGACACAAGCACTATTAAATGAGCATAAAATAAAGTTTTATTACATCTCACACAAGCAGTCTCTGCATGTTGAGACAAAAAAAAAAAAAAAAAAACTCCAGGGTGAGTTTGTTTTAGAGAGACTGAGAACTTCACAGAGATCAGCCAGATTCTTGTATGCTGCTGAAGTTAACACTCAGCTGAGTGGGGCCTAGGTTAAAAAACAAAAGAGGTTAAGATTAAAAAAGAAGCCATTTTATATCAACTATATTATCATGTCACACAGCTTGGTTTTAATGACCTACAGGAACTTTCTGAAAGTCTGTTTTCAACGTTCTGGTGGTTTTATTGGGAGAAAACAAAACTTGAGCTGTTTGTCAGCTGAGGTTTAGGGTTAGAATCAGAGGTTTAAACAAACTCATGAGCAAGGTCGTTTTATATATATATA